TCTCATCATAGCAAACTGACAGCCGGGACCGACCTTCGTCAACAAAATCCTGGTTTAATACCCAGCCTACTGACGCTCTGTCTGTCACACGCCCAGCTACTGATGTGTTGAGGGGTTCAAAATGAAGAATAAAGAATAACTAGCGACAGGAGAGAGAGAGAGAGAGAGAGAGAGAGAGAGAGAGAGAGAGAGAGAGAGAGAGAGAGAGAGAGAGAGAACGAGAGAGAGAGCGAGACAAACAGACAGACAGACAGACAGACAGACAGACAGACAGACAGACAGACAGACAGACAGACAGACAGACAGGGGAGGGGGGCAAAGGACACAATCGTAGAGGCCTATCAAGAGAGATAGAGGGGGAGACAGACAGACAGATATTTAAACTTTTTTTAAAGAGGGAAAGAGGAGACACCAGTCGACTTTTTTGTAAGTGTTTTACGGCGCTAGTAACTGCATTAGGTCATATGAGCGCGCGGGACACACCAAACATTTTCAGTTAGTAGGAAATTTTGAATTTTGCCTGGGTGGCGGCCGAAGCCTACTCACATCGATTTTAGACCACCAAGGGATCTTTAACGTGCGCAACTTTCACACGCGACCTCCATATTTTTTCGCCCTTGCCCGAGAAGGCAAGGTGTAGATCTTTCCTACCAGAAGATCAGGGGTGTGGCTGAAAGACAGCAGTAAGAAGGAGCCAAGGGGTAACAGTAGAAAGGCTGCAGAAAGAGTCAGGAGCCCAGAGGAAGGGGGAAATGATGTGAGGGGGTGGGGGCAGAAAGTGGAGACGAAATCAGACGACAGAACATTGCCAGAGAACAGAAAAGGATGTGAAAAGAGACAATTACAGAGATGAAAGTATTTCCGTCGCTACACGGATTTGAATCCAGGACCTTTGAATGAGAGGTGAACACATTAACCTTTAGGCCACGAGAGCCCCCAATCCAGTAGACTGAAAGTCTAAGAGACAGAGAAAGAGCGGGACAGAGAGAAAGAAAAAATGGGATGGGGAGGAGGGGTACAGAAGTAGAACACGAGGGGGGGGGGGGGGCTTAGGGTGGAAGCAGAGGAGATGATCAGACTTTTCTGTCAAAAAGTGGTCCTATGAAAAGCAAGCACTGATGGCATTGGATAAGCAGGACTTACGCATGCCATTATCAGAGGGGATTTATATATATATATATATATATATATATATATATATCTATATATCTATCTATCTATCTATATATATATATACATATATATGTTTTTAAAATATATACAAATATATTATGTGTTGCGTGTTTGTGTGTGCGCGCATGTGTGCGTGCGAGTACGTGTGCGAGCGTGAGTGCGTGCATGTGTGTCTGTGCTCATGTGTGTGTGAAGAGAAAGAGAGAGGGAGAGAGAGAAAGAGAGAATGAGAGAGACAGGGAGAGGAGGGGGGGAGAGAGGGAGTGACGGAGAAGGAGGGACGAAAACCCGACAATTTCTGTGACAGATCTCATTACAGCCACACTATTTAAATACGCGAGCCGTTGCTCCGACACGCACAGCGAAAATAAGGCAACTAATTCACGTTCAATAACTAGAT